CTCATTTACTATTCTAATAGGGGTAACCCTAAGATGGCGCGGTCTCGCCGCTGCGCTGGCGCCCAGGGGGAGGTTTCCCATTTTAACCTTTCTGCTGAACATCTCGGAAAGGTTAAAATTAGTGGTGGCAAGCAGGCTAAATAGCCATCTCAGATGGTGATTAAAGAAAATTTGAATTTATTTAAGGAAAAGGGGTTAGGAGGTGGAAATATCCAAAGGAAAGAGCTATATATACAGCACTGAGCCAAAGGGTATTGGGTCCATGATGGCAGGAAAACGTACTTAGAACAGTGAAACAAGGAAGGGCATAGAAGAAGCAACAGAAAAGTCTAGGCTGGGCTGCTCTGGCTCACTGAGAAGTCAGGGCCTTGGAGACAGGTTCAGGGAGTTAGCCCGGGAGGAGCTGCCACTGCCCATTGCTCCCCTGATTGCAAATCTCATGGGGTCTCTTAGAGGTTGGGGGATATGTGCCTGTGGGAGAAGGAGAGGAAGGGAATGGCAAAGGCACGCTCCTTGGAGGGAGAGTGCGCACTGTGTCCTTTGTCCTGAGTTATTTATCTCTCTCAGGTAGAAATCTTAGGGGAGTTTTCAGGGGAGGTCCTTAATAGAATATTCATAAGCTCTCCAGGTGTGCTTTTTCAGGGTTGGGGTCTCCACTGATTGCTCAGTGCCAGGGCAGGGAGTCAGTAGTCAATGTAGCTGGTCCTGAGGCAGCCATGTCTGATTTTGTTGCTTTTCTGGGCTTGGAGCTGAAATATAACGGAGGCCTAGATGTTATCTTTAGAGAGGAATTTCAGGGGGTCTAAACGGCCTGACCAACAACATGAAAGATCAGGCGTCCTAACAGAATGACCAGCACTATGCTAGGGAAGAATAGGTTGCCCTGAGGGTGAGGTCCTTGTTTTCCCTTGTTGGTGAGTTTCTGACCTGGCCCAATATCTAGATGCCACCTTCAACTTATGATATCCCAAACATAGTTTCCTTCTTAACCTATTTATTCTCTGGAATACCCATTTCCTCTCTGCTATTCTCCCCTTTCCTCCCCCCACCCCCACCCCCCGCTTTTTTAGGACATTGCCCAAAATCCTGTTCAAACAAGTTCTAGATCTACAAGTCATTTTTAAGTTCTTCTTTTTCCACACAATTTCTGTCCACTCTCTTTTTATAGCTTCTGCTCTCTCCTGTCCATTCCCATTGCCCCAACTTAAATCATGCCCTTGTAGCCTCTTGCTAGTATGTTGGTGTATAGTCCACTTGGTGTATAGTCCATTTCCCACTTTCAATTTACCATATTTACTGCTGCCAGATGGTAGTGGAATTGCATCTTTTGTGGTGGTTGAGTATTAAAGTTATTGTTTAAAAAGAAAATTTCTTATTGTTAACATTACTCTTTAAAATGCCTTATATTGCCCATAAAGCAAAATCTACAGACATATTGCTTCTTAATAATTTAACATTACCAGTTTTTCCTCCACTTTTGGAAGAGATCACTTTTCTTTTTGTTGACTATCAGATTAAGTCATCTGCTTGGTTTTAGTGGCCATCTAGAATGAAAATGTTTCTTAATACACCTTAACTACTTTCTTTTAAAATACGTTTTTTTAAACACTCAGCACTAGTCTATTTGAATTCATGTTAGTTACTCATGAGTGTGATACAGATTCTCTGGAATGTATAAAAGCACAGTTCTGATCCTGTTATTTCTGTGCTCAAAAACATTTAGTGGCTCTCCATTGCTTATCAGACGCCCCATTTCTTCAACCTCACACTCAAAACTGTGCGTGAGCTGGCTTCAACTCACTCATCTCATCCAGGTTCCATCCCAGAAAGGAATGTCTCCACATATGCTGTGCACATTCCAGTCTCCATCCACACTTTCCCTCACAGGGGTCCCACTGACGGATATACCTTGTTCTTACTCCCCATTTCTGCTGGGTTGAGCCATTCTTCAAAGATCATCTCACATGCTGCCTCTCCTAAGATTCCTTTACAGACTCTTCTCTAGCCCAGCTCAGCCCAAATCCTACTTCCTTTTCTGAACTGAGTAGGTCTTCATTTGTACTGCATTTATAGCAAGTATCATTTTCTGTCTAGAATTTTCATTTTTATTTACTTTTGGTGTGTGTATATGTGTTAATCCTCAACTGGAGGATATTTTTTCCATTGATTTTTTTAAAAAGAGAATGGAAGGGAGAGAGGGAAGAGGGAAGAAGGGAGAGAGAGAGAGAGAGAGAAACAGAGATACATTGATCAGTTGCTTCCCACACTCACCCGACTGGGGCCAGAATTGAACCTGCAACCCTTCAGCGCAAGGGCTGACACTCTAACCATTTACCACAACAGACAGGCCTTTATTTACCATATTTTTCCATGTATAAGATGCTACTTTTTTCTAAAATTATCAGACTGAAAATTGAGGGGCGTCTTATACACGGAAGTCAGCTAAGGAGGGAGCCGCACGGGTACATAGCTGCCCATACCTTGTCAAACAGGCTTCCTCCAATCACGAGCCTTACTGTTACTGATGTCAGCTGATGCGGTAATTGGAGGTGGAGGTGGAGACTATGTAGATGCAACAGGGACGGGAGCGTTCTGAGCCCATAAAGATGTCAAAAAATAAAAAGATAAATACTGGTAAGTGATTGTCTTACTCTGCAAAATTCAAATTGAATGTGATCAGCTATGCAAAAGAGCATGGAAATAGAGCTGCAGAGAGACAATTTGGATCTCCTCCCATTGAGTGTATAATCAGACAGTGGAGAAAACAGGAAGAACAACTCCTTAAGATGCCAAAAAAGAAGAAGAACTTAAGAGGAAAACCAGCAAAATGTTTAAAATATTGATTTCTTAATTTGGGGTTGGAAAAGTGGGGGGCATCTTATACATGGGGGTGTCTTATACACGGAAAAATACAGTAAGTTTTATGAGACTATAAGCACTATGGACAAGGTTAGTGCTTGGGTCTTCTTTATATTTTTACTAGAGGCCTGGTGCACAAAATTCATGCACAGGTAGGATCCCTAGTCCTGGCCAGCGATCAGGGCCAATAGGGGCCTTCCAACTGCTGGCCAGGGCCTTCATTCCACGCCGCCCCCTGTTGGTCAGTGCACATCATAGCGAGCAATAGAACTCCCGGTCAAACTCCCATAGGGACACTTTGCCTATTAGCCTTTTACATATGTAGATACTCTTTCACCATCTCCAACTTCAAGCACACAGTCAGTTCTCAACAAGTTTGAATGAATAAATAAGTAAAATAATGCGGCTTCCCAACCCCGCCCCCCCCATGCAAAAGAATTTCTCCCAATGTGCTGTAGTCTGGCAGTGCCCCAGAAGGTAGGACTCAGGGCTCCAAAGCAGCAGCAAACTCTTCTTCATCCCTTTAGTGTCTGAAGTCAGGCAATGAATGAACTCAACAGGAAGGCAGATGGGCAAGCAGATATATGCAAATGCAAAACTCTTTGCTCTTTCTTACAAAGCAAAGTAAACATTCTATTTAGGGAAAGAAAGAAAAAAAGACCTTGCAAATGTACAATACAATGGCTTTTTCATAGAAGGCTTCAGGAAATGCCAAGGTCTGTCATTGGGGTTGGAGACAGTTTGTTTCCATTGTGTAGAAAGAGACCGTTAATCCCGAAGACCTGCTGTTTTAAAGGATCAGACACGTTCCAGTGCATCTCAAGTTCAGTGGGACTTTAACCTTTATGGAGAGAAAATCCCCTCCCCGCCTTGTTTTTAACTCCAGGCTGAAGGGAAGCTCTGGCTCCAGGAGTTCACTGGATATAACAGCCCTTAAATCTTTTCTGATTCATACTCCAAGCCCCAGAAATACAAATCTAGCTCTGCTCAGATGCGCAGTAAGATTTTAAAGGAAGGTCTGGGGGTTGAAGAGGATGGGAATGTAATATATTTAAGGATGGTCTGGGCCTTGGGGACTAAAGGTTATTTGAGCTTGTCTTACATCTTTCAAGGGATGGGGCATCTTGATCTTTACTATGGTCATGCAGAAAGTGTAATCTGCCCGCAGCGACAGAGGGAGTTTGGCAGTGAATTTACACCCTCGGTGTTGACTTTAGACTGATCAGGGAAAATACCCGCCCTACACTCTTGTAAAATCTTAATGTACCGTGAGAAGTGCACAGCGTGGCCTGATGTACAGTGCTCAGATTTGTCCTGACGTTATTGAATCGTGGCAAGTGGCTTCCAGGAGGGAAGGTGTTGGTTTTTGTTTTTATTTTTTGCACAATTATTCAGGTGTCTTATCCTGTTTCTCTTCTCCCTCCTGGACTTGGGTCCTGGAATCACTTGGGTCCTAGAGAGCTCTTCCCTGCACGTCTCAGCTCGGCCTCCTGCGGGCTCTCCCCCCCCCCCCCCCCCGCCGCCCCCGCTTTTCTCTTTCTGGCCCCGCCTCCTCCGCGCGCCCCGTAGCCAGCAGCTAGACAGCTGTGTTCAATCAGAAACCACTTACAACTCCAGACGATTCAAACGGGAAACTTCGGCGTGAAGCGCAGCTCCGCTCGGGCTCTCTTTAGCTTTCTTTCCTTCCCAGGAGCCCGAGGAGCGGATCTTCCTCGCCCGGCCGCCCGGGTTTGTTCTGGAGCTCGACGAAGCCCTCTAGGGTGCAGGATCTTGCTGGGAGCTGCCTCCAGCCTGGTCATGGGGGTCGGCGAGACGCCGCAGGAGTGGTGAGCGGCGCCGAGGGTGGCACTGCCCCGGGACCCGGCGGTGGGCGCGCGCGGGCGGGTCCCCGCGCCGGCTCGGCCGCTGCAGCAGCTGCGAGCGCGCCACGCCACCCAGCCTCCTGCAGCAATGCCTCGCCCGTGAGTCGCGAGCCGGCTCTGCTCCTCTTCGGAGTGTTGGCATCCTTCGTTAGGACTGCACCGCTGTCCTGGGTGAAAATGGCTGTCTAGACTAGAATCTGCCAGAAGGGACCGAGCAGTGGATAGCGAGCCTGTGAAGCCTAACTCACAGCTGCGAGACCTGGAGGAGGAGCTCGGCTCGAAAAGTGCAGACATGAATTCTGGAGTTGCCTTGAAATACGGAAACGACTCCTCGGCCGAGCTGAGCGAGGTAAGAAACAGCTGAGGTCCAGAGCTCTGGTTTCCTAGGCAGTGAGTGGCTTTTTGACCCCCCACCCCCTTTTCTTAATCTCCCCCAGCCCGGTACCGCACCCGCCTCGCACTGCCTGTCTGGAGGCAGCGCAATTAAAGATTAATAGATTTTCTGGATCTTGTTTTAACTTGTAGTGTTACTCAGGAAATGACCTGAACTGGCTTGATGTTTCAGTCTGAAACGAGTGGCTTAAAAAAGAAACAAGCTCTCACCACCCGCCAAGGCGTTTTTACTCTCCGCGGTCTGGGTCCCCTGTCCCTTCCCACCCGTTTCCCCCTGTTTATGTACAACTCAGCTTTTCGGACTCACAAAATACCCGGGGATCCCAGCTGAGCTTAAGCCAGCGGTAACTAATTTGGTGGGGCCCGGGAACTCATTGGATTATTAAATCTGCCACTTGGCTCCCACGTGTGATGCGTTTGGATAAATTCGGCCAAGGTGGTCTCTCCGCGGCGGAGATGAATGACCGCGCTGGGGAGGGGCGTGGGGAGGAAGGACATCAAAGCCGCTTAGAACTTTATTTCCTGCCCGGGACTGGACTCCTGAGTCTTTGAGGCAAGAGCATTTGCAATTCCTGGCTCTTACAGTAACATAGCCACTTGAGTGTTTGAGACCTTGCTTTGAAATTAAAGGCTACATCAAACGGCATGCAAATATGTGAACGGTAAGGATGCCCAAAGCCACCTTTTTGATGACTTTAGGGATGCCTGGGGCACATCCCACCTCCTCCCCCACCGCCCCCCCAAGGCTTTGAATACCTGAAAAGTAGGGACGGGAAACCTCCAGAACTGGGAGCTCAGAAGAAAGTCTGAGACGGTGTCTACAGCAGGAGGCTTGATGGCTGTAGGATTTCCTCCTAGCACCATCCCTGAGCCATTTCTGGGAGCAAAAGTAGAATAAATAGTCTGTGCTTCTTCAGTATAGCTGAAGAAAGGAAGGGGGGGGGGGCGAGGCGGGGTGAAGGCCGGTGTAAAAACAGCCGGAAGGCAGATAGAAGTGATGTCAGATTACTTACCGTGAAGGGAAAATGAAAGGCTGGAGTCCTCACTTGGGGAGAGGGCTGGTGATGGGGAAGGAAGGGGGTGTACGGGGAAACTCCATTAGGTCTGGGGCTGGTATCCAGCACCCCAGCCTGGTGCTCTGAGTGTCTTACTGCTGCGCTGTGCCTGCTGGGGTTTGGAATAGCATTTTGAGGTGTTGGTCCAATGAGTAGAGGCATTGCCTAACCCCTGTGCTTTCCCTTGTGATGAAGAAGACAGGAGATGCAAAGGGTAGGGCTTCATTTAAAAGTGGGAGGCAGAGGGAAAGCCTGAAGACCTAAGTGACTTTTGCCAATTTTAAATGCAGGGGGAGGTTTCAGATCTAAGAAGAACCCAGGTCCTGCTCCATTACTGACACTATTTAAGGAGAAGCCTTTGTCTTATCTACTAAGGTCATTTAAAAACTAAAAAACTGAAGGCTTGAAGAGAGTCTTGGCTAGGCCTTTCACATTGTTTGTTTCTACCTGGCAGCTTTCACACTTTCACCTGAAAGGTGCTGTTCAATTACCTCTGTTTCAAAATGAATTGTGGAGAGAAAGGAGGCCTGGGTTGACTTTAACAGTATTGGCAGGGTCAGGGAGGACATTAGATGTGAAACCCAGGTGGGATGTAACACTCTCCATCCTGTGTCTCGTGCGCCTCATTTTTCCACTCCTTAGAAAACCTGTGGCCAAATGCAAGCCGCGAGGGCGCTCTGTGACCTCTGCATTAGTTGGAGCAATATTTCAGCATTACAAGACATAGTTTTGTCCCTCAGGCAATAAACAAGTTTCTGTCCCAGCCATATCCTTTACCAAATTTTCTTTCCTTTTTCTCAGTGTCTGCTAATTCATTGCTTGCCTTCTTTAGAGCCTTCTTTTTAGGCTCAGTGACCTAGTGCTCCTCCATCCCCCAATCCTAGTTTCCCTGCAGATTAAGTAGTTGCAACAAATTGTGAAGATAGTTTTGTGTTTTGTTTTGTTTTTTAGCTTTTGTACATATTTTAAATTATGGTATGTGTAAAGAGAGTTTGAAAGGTAAGGGTGTGAGGTTCATACCTTATGGACCCTAAATCACATGGGCAATAGTCCCATGTTCTGTAATATCTATAGATCAGTAAGGATATGGACCCAGGAAGATTCTAATACAATACATTTGTATTTCTCACTTTACCCTTGTTTCACAATCACTTCTCTTTGGTGTAAAGGAGAGTTTCTTCTTTTCACCGTAATTTTTCTTTTAAACACTGGTTTTGCTTTAACATCTTGGGGGGGGGGGAGAGCAAAGTCCCCATCCTTTTTTGATGGTTGGTTCCTCCTCATCTGGAAGCAGAGCTAATAAAATCCCTGAGGGGCCCCTTTAATGCCATATCTCTTATTGCCCAGGAGTCTCAACACTGCCTGGAGGTCACCATGGGGTCAGATTCAGCCTGATGTTCACCAGGCATTTCAGGGGCAGGAAAAACTCAAAGGGCTCAGCATTATTCTGGGTATTAGAAACAAGAGGCCTCTCTCGTTGGCATTGACTGGTGAGCTTATCCCTTCTGCAAGGGTCCTCTAGCCATAGGAGTCACTGACTTCATAACGTCCTGAACAAGGGAAGTGACTTGAATCCATTTCTAGTTGTAATCCGCTGGACCTTCACGAGAGCAGCAAGCTTTGGTCAGCAATTCAGGCGTTGACCTCTGCCTGCCCTGCTCCAGGAAAGCTTCCTTACCAGAGAGGCAGGAGAGATTGGTGTGAGGGATACTGGAGGAGACTGAGAGGGCTGGGTGTCGGGCATGAGGTGTTTTGCATGTGTGAGAACTTTAAGATGCTGGAAAACAGGAAATTCATGAATGTGTTCCTGTTGTGTCTTTAGTTTGAACAATAGCTGTTTAAGATCCTATGAGGTGATTATAGGAGAGAGTAAAATGCCCTCTACCTATGGTCAATTCAAAGCATTTTTATTTATCCATGACCACAAATGGCTCATGTCAAGTCTGAACACTTGAACCAAAACAAACTAGTCATTAGCATTAACAAAGGTAATTCAAAAGGAAAATTTGAGAAGCATGAGTTGGCGATTCTTTTTTTTTTTTCCTTAGCTATTAGCTGTCCCTATCAAAGACTCAAAGGATGTTTTTCTTTTTCTAATAGGAGGTTAAGGAAGGACTTTAATATCAGCCAAATCGAAAGTACTTAGAAAATTAAGTGGTTGGCTTTCAGTCTTCCTCCAAGATCAAGAAGCTGACTGGACACACTGCCAGCAGCATTAGATTAAATTCTCCCAAACCTTGTCAAGGAAGGCTCTTAAATCTTCTTCCTCAACCCCGTGGGTTTTCAGTTGGCAGTTAATTCTGTTTAACTTGGTAAAACCTGTGGGACCAGTTTCACAATCACATCTCTTGGTCCTTAGAGTAATTCAGACTTTGGGAAGAAGTCTTGTGCAGCATTATCAGAGTACGACTTGAATTTACTCATCTTTACAGAATACCTGTCCACCCAATCTGCTTGTCTAATAGGCAGCTATCTATTTATGTAGCAAAATAAAGAGTTATCTTTAAGAGTTTGTTCTTCTAAGTCAAGAAAGATTTTCAAGGTTTTCACGGATTTGGCTGAAAGGCAAGATCTCAACAGAAAAGCTCCTATGATATTGCTGCATGAAATATGAATTTAATGTTGAAATGCAAATCGTTGTGATTGTTCTGATATTTTGGATTTATTTTGTAAGCGTACTTATATTGTTCTTAGTTATCTTGAAAATCACAATGAGCAAAACATTCTTTAAATTCCTGAGGGGGGAAAAAAAGAGTTTGTTCTTTCCTGGCAATCATGAAAACCACTGGGAATGAAAAAAAATTATTTCCTAACGCAAAGAATACTTTGTTTGAAGCAATTAACCTATATTTTGTCTTTTAAATATTAAACAATGAACAGGTAAAATTCTCCCATCACGATTTATTTTGAAACCTTAGTTGCCCTGGAAATTGTATTTCCCTAACTCTCTCCTCATCACATTATTCAAAGCCTCTTTCATAAGATTATTCCACTCCTGAATATAGGCTATAGAGGCAACTCCCTGCTTTCACCATTTACTTGTTGGGTAGCTACTGAAACCACACATCTTCACTGATACTCTAATTAAGAAGTAGATTATATGGGAGAAAATTGCTCTCTAGATAGATTATCTCGTATATATATCTCTAAGTGGCCATCTCACAGATGTACTTACTCTTTTTAGTCAAGTTACACGGTATCAGAGTCGGAAGGGCCTATGAGATCACCTAGTATGCCCACTCCCCGTTATACTTCTTCACCTCCTCTGTTTCTATAGAATCCCACTTCATTGTAGTGAGGTGTTTAATGTCTGTCTTAGCCACAGATGATAAGCACCAGAAGGGCAGTGTCAAGACCTGTCAGAGTCTGGCACATAGTAGGTGTTCTAGGAATGTTTGATGAATGAACACCTTGCCTCTTCTCTCTCTTTCCCTTTTTTATAAATGTAGAATTTGAAAAATTGATTTAAGAGGCTCTTTGGCTGTGTAACAAACTGCCCTCAAATTTAGAGACTTCAAATGACAATCTTATTTGCTCCTGATTTTGCAATTTGGGCAGAGTTCAAGGGGAAAGACCTGTGACTGCAACTGGAAGATCCGCTTCCAAACGGGCTTAATCACACAGCTGGCAAATCAGTGCTGGCTGTAGACTGGAGATCACCTCAGTTCTCTTGGAAGTGGGCCTGCCTGTGTGGCTGCTTGGATTTCTTCTCCCTGTGGCGGCTGGGTTCCAAGAAGTAGGAGGTGGAAGCTGAAGGTTCTTTTAAAATGTAGGACTGAAACGGGCACCAGGTCACTTCTATGTGCTCTACTGGTCAGAACAGCTATGTGCTTAGCCCAGAGGCAAAGGGTGAATAAATAGATCTAACCTGTCCAAGGGGGAGGTGACAAAGAATTTGCAA